AGGGGTGTCCCAATACCTTTGGCAATATAGTGTGTGTGTGTAATATATACATAGAGATATATCTATCTATCTATCTATCTATCTATCTATCTATCAATAGATAGATAGATAGATACACACACACACACATATACATACATATACATACATATACACAATTTTTATACAATAGAAAGTGCATGCTCCACAACTGTAATTTCTTCTCCTTCCATCACACTTTATGAGCCGCTGTACATATAATTTGTTATTGTTGGCCACACAGGGGGCATTTGAGGCCACTCAGCAGTCTTACTGGGTAAACCACATAATTTTGAATGGGTGTTGCTGCTTTTTGTTTTTAACATTTGCACAAAAGAGTAAAGGTGAAGCCATTCATATCTGTGTCACCTCCCGGATCCGGAGAATGTCTGCTAATAACAGGTCTCTCGGGAGCAGAGCAGTGAAACCTATTAGCACTCCTTGCTCGGTTTATTATGACTATTTTTATCACAGGAATGTCTGGTAAGAGAGAGAAATACAATCATCTCTGGCTTATGAGCAGATAAATCTACATACCCAACGCCTGTAAATGACAGAAAAATTGCCCTAAGTCGGCATTTAATTGCATTTTAAGCATAACAATGTGCTAACACATGTAAGCAGCATCTGAAAGCTGCGTACAATTTGAAGAGCAGATGGGTCTTTTATGGGTCTCTATGGTCCAAAACTAAAACTAAATCTGTATTTCTATATTGAGTTCTCTCCCGCTCCTAATAACCAGATCCATCTAGGAGTCTGTAAACGTACTTATTAAAAAGGAGAACTATGAGGAGAGTGCTTTTCACACACCTCATAGTTCTAGCCGACGTGTGACAATGAGACTGTCACAGGTCAGCGAACACATACCGGCGTTCGCTCACCTCTCGATCCTGTCACAGCTCTCTGCCGTGACAGGGGAGGGGCTGGATTCCCCCCGCTCCGATCCGCCAGCACTGACTGGAGGAACGGACGGGGGAGGGGGCGGGTACAGCTGGCTCTGCCTCTAGATAGGCAGAGCCAGCTGTCACTGACACAGCTGGGCGGATCTCGACATCGATGTCGCGATCCGCTCCGGCGTCTCAGTATATAGGGAGCTGTAGCTCGCGGTATACTGAGCTTAGGGTGACGGGAGGACGCTATTTTGTGTCCTCCCGTTACCCTAAGGAGAACTATGGGGAAAAGCCCTGACCCCATAGTTCTCCTTTAATGATGCCCATAGGATGGACTTCCTCCATGCACTGACACAATTTCACGCAGCCCTGCGAATATGAACTTCCTTGTGTGACCACTCTCACAGAGCCGGCCTTCTAAACTGCAACTCAACGTCTGAACAATCTAACATCACCACTGCTTGTGGGAAGCAATGCATGATGGGAGATGTAGTGTTGAGAAATGGAGATTCCATCACATCAAGCAGCAGGGAAAGAGACGCAAAGCACACTGGGAATACAGGAAGTTGATGGAAGTGACGGGCAGACGGAGGGCGGCGCTCACTACATAAAAGGGATTTTTTCATGTAAGCTTTGATTGTATTATCAGACACACCCCCAGTATGTATTCCTATTACAATGCTGATGTTATAACAGGAGAGGATGTGCTGGGACTTTACAACTCCTTTAACCCCTTCGTGACTGACGACGTACAGTGTACGTCGCCAGCATCGGGGCTGTTTAAACAGACTCCCGGCGACTTTTGCCGCCGGGACTCTGTTTAAACTTGTAGAGCCGACTGTCGGCTTTACAACAGAAGCGATCCTGGCGACTTACCTAAAAATGTGGAATATAACATGGGTACAAAAAATGAAAAAAGGGCCTCAGTCATGAAGGGGTTAAATAAATGGTAGGGATGCACCGATACCAATACTAGTATCAGTGCCGATACCGAGTATTTGGGCGAGTACTCGATACTTACCTCTGATACTGGAACTTCCGAACAGAGGGAGATCTCCCTCTGACTGCAAGTGCCCGAGGAAGGATGGAGCTGGCTACCTTTGCAATTAGGAAGCCGGGTCGTGGGTAATGACGTGCCTCCTGATTGGTCAGGAAGCCAGGCTGCCTAAGAACAAGTGAAGCTGGCTTCCTAGCCAATCAGGAAGCGGGTCATGACGTACTGCCCAGCTTCCTGATTGGTTAGGAAACCAGCTTCACTTGTTGGTAAGCAGCCTGGCTTCCTAACCAATCAGAAAGCCGGGCGGCACGTCATGACTCACGTCCCGGCTTCCTGATTGGTCAGCCTCGGCAAGTGAAGTTCTTTCGCTAGAACACCGGCTACACAGGCAATCAGGAAGGCGGGCGACAGATTATGACCCGCTGGCCGACTTCCTTAAATCTGGGCACACGGCGCCGGTGCTCGTTATCAGCGAGTACAAAAAAAAAAGTTATCGGTACTCGAAACCGGTATCGGTGCATCCCTAACAAAACAGCATAGCAATATTCAAACAGCATAGGAACACTCAAACCTTCCCCTTCACTATGAATGCCTTGAGGGAAAAACCTGACCTTTCTTACCATCCAGTTCATAACAACAAATTAGTTATTTGCTGCAGCCCAGGAGATCCCAAGTCTTTCACGCAACATCTATTATCAAGGTACCACATCCCACAATGCAATGCAGGTGGCTCAGTGACCTAATGAGGGGTGCCCTGTATAGCATTGTGGGATGCAATCGGGCTTTTCTCTATATTCCACTTTGAGTCAAAACTTTCTTAGGAGCTCAAAAGGTGCCACAGAGGTTCTTTCAAAGTGACACCAAACTCAGGAGTTTAATCTTAAAATTTCACTTGAAGCCATTGGCAATGTCTTTCATAAGCTGAATGGTGCAAACTCTAAGCACCAAAGGCGAGTTTAATTTCCTGTTTATAGGTACTCTTTAAAAGGAGCTTTAGTTAAAGCGGACATTTACCCAGATCTCGAAAATAACAAACACACCTTTAGAAATGTTTAGTAATGACAATCTACAATCACATACGTCTAGATAATTGCCGGCTTTGTATACTTTGTATACCTTATAACTATTTTCTTCCACGGACCTCCGATAGCGGCCATGTTTACTTAGGGCAGATTATTAGCTCTCCTATTACTTCCTGGATTTCTGGCACATGTGACTAGGACATGTGACCATGCACATCATCTCAGGAGGAGTTAAATGCCTTTCCCTGAGATCTCCTGAGATTACAGATGAGATTTCCCAGCAATGCTCTGCTGATGGCAAGACAATCCCAGTGTGCATTGCTTTGCCAAACTGAAGTCATTTTGCCCTTTCAAAGCAGGAAGTGAACGCTCTGCAAGTGTCAGTATTTCACAATCGCAGAATTGTACACCTGACATGTCTATGTTATTATTCATCATCATATATAGGGGGGATGCATTGGAAGAGGTAAAGGTCCACTTTAAGAAAAATTGCTTTATATATTACTATTGGTGACAATACAGTTACAAATAATGAGAACTTCTGAACTTGGCGAGCCAAAAGTAACACCAGGAGAAGAACTAAGTTCAAGTAACAATCTTAGTTTTCCATTGAAAATTGGGAAGGAACCTTTGAAGCAATAAGAGTGCGAAATCTGTGGCTGGCTTGAGACCCCTATGAATAAGGATCATAAGGCCTCATTCACACAGCCAAGAGCCGGTCCGTACAGATCCATGCGGAGTGCACGGCCGTATTGGGCAACTCCCGGGAAGGACAGGTGCTGCGTGTGATGTGTATGCAGCAGCCTGTTCTTCTCTATGGGACTACATGGCCGTGCGCTCACCCGAACTGCACGTACATGCGGGTGTCCCGGCTCGGACGCAGACAGGATCCATCCTGTCAGCGCAAGAGTACGGACACCCGCACGGACGTGCAGGTCGGGTGAGCGTAGGGCGACGTACGGCCGCATAGTCCCATAGAGAAGGACGGGGGCTGCGTACTAATCACATGCAGCACCTGTCCTTCCCGGGAGCTGCCCGATACGGCCGTGTACTCTCAGAGAAGAACACGCTGCTGCGTATAATCACACGCTGCACCTCTCTTTCCCGGGAGCTGCACGATACGGCCGCATACTTTCATAGAGAAGAACACGCTGCTGCGTATAATCACACGCAGCACCTGTCCTTCCCGGGAGCTGCACGATACGGCCGTACACGCAGCACGGGTCTGTATGGGCCAGCATGTAGCTGTGAGTGAGGCCTAAATGTCTTACGGATACACATCTGCCTGACTACAGTAAGCCCAAACATATGCGAAATGAAATGAGAATGAGGGCTCTCGTTCAGACGAACGTGCAGACCCGTAAAAAGACCCAACCTTGGAAGAAACAGGTGCTGCGTGTAATTGTGCACAGCAGCCTGTGCTTCTCTATGGGGAGGACAGGGCTGCATGCATTTACACGCGGTCACATGCATACTTAGGGAAGAACAGGCTGCTGGGCACAAATTACACGCAGCACCTGTCCCTTCCGGGATCGGGTCTTTTTACAGGCATGCACACTGCACAGCCGTCTGAATGAGCCCTTAAAGAGACTAAAAATAAGAATAAAACAAACAATGAGAAATACACTGCGGCAATGAATTACCTTCTCGCTGGGAGTGAGGAGATAAATGGCCTCCAGGCTTGGAATTGGTTCTCTTCTCTTATTAACATCTTCAACAACTGTGTACAGGAAAGAAAACAAGAAGACATCTGACATTATTCTCTCCCAGTCCAAGTAATTAAAGTGTACCTAAACACCAACAATGACCCTCTCTCTCAAATGTAATACCTTTAGCAGGAGGTAACGAAATGGAAATTTCAAAAACGAAATGAAACCAAAAATGTCAGGCCGAAACCGAAAATGTTTTTTAAATTGTTTCAATTTTTAAAAAATATTTTAATTTGTATTTATTTTTTATAAACTTTTTAATTTTGTTATATTTATGCATTCATTCATTTTTTTATAAAATATTTTTATTTATTACTTTACTTTTAGGGGCTTTGGGGAAATATTGGGGGTCTAAACAGATCCCTGATATTTACCTTTTAAAATAGAAAAAAAGAGATTGAGGACACAGAGTCCTCCGAGACACAAAGTCCTCAATCTCTTATTCTGCAGCCCCTGTTTTCAATTCATAACATGAGGACAGAGTATGTTTACTATATCCACAATCATGAATGAACAGGAAGTGATGTAGGAGGTGATGTAGATCACTTCCCATTCATTCATAATTGGGGATATAGTACCCATACTCTGTCCTCAATTATGTACAAACACTCAGCGATCACTGACTGCTTGCATTGGCTCTCCATCCTGACAGCTGTCGCAGGAGGCTGAGCGAGCGGTGCGGAAGGAGAGCCCAGCCTCCTGTGACAGCGCCGGCTGTCTCCACCCACACACTGCTCTGTGATAGGAGGCTGAGCGGTGTGGGAGGAGAGACGCCGGCCGCTCACATCGCTCTCCTCCTGCAGCGCTGGGCCGGCTGTCACAGTTTCTCTCCTCCCCGCTGGCACACAGAGCAGCGCCCAGTGGGGAGGAGAGAAAGCAGGGATGCGCCGCTGTATCGGCACAAAAATGGCACTTACGGCATTTAGCCAAAAGTGCCATTTTCGGACGATATGTTTGGGCGGCTGATATATCGGTGCATCCCTACCTTTTAGTCTGGTAAAAATATCACCGAAAGCATTTTGTTATATCGGTTTGATAAGTGGAGAAAAAAAAACCTGTCAGAAATGTAGGGCTGGGTCCCGAGCACACTTCCTGTATTGTTATCTCATTGGGTCTAATGAGCCCTCCTAGTTCTTATCTTTTACTACAGAATAATTGGTGTCTCTGTTGTAGACATAAGGAGAGTGGGAAGGTTTGAGTAGCTTAGCTAAAAGATAGCCGGGCAGGGCTGACACCAATCATTCCACAAAATGCTGTGTGCTGTCAGCCCACAACGCATCATAGGAGCCGAGTGCATTTCTGGCAGATCAGCAAGAAGTCACCACCCTGTATATATTCCTTCGTTATCAGGCCATTTGTCTGTTATCAGTGCCGTTATGGTTTGACTGACATTTACTCGGTCATGCAACACTGTACCCAGATGAAGCTTATCTCATTTTTGGAGACAAATGGAGCTTTCATTTCGTTGTATTTAATAACCACTGTTTTAAATATAGAAACGATACAAATGTTTTAAAGAAAATGGTTTTCCTAATCCCCGTTATAAATCATTTCAAATAAAAATGCCCTAAAAATACAGAATACCCCCAAAATGACTCCTGCATTCCACCCCGAGGTCATCTCATTTTTTGCCACAATTGTTTGGAAGGAAGACGTTAATACATGGAGGATGGAGATGAGGGGGGTGAATGATGTGAATGATAAAAGGTTAAAGGCTTTAATATGCAGGTCACTACAGAGACAGGAGAGAGATGAGGTGTATGGGGCA